ACATCCACCCCAACCCCCTCTTCTTTGATAGATAGAATTTCATTATTTTAAAATTTTCAAAATCAGACACACACAAAGAGATATGGGGTAGTAGGAGGGGGTGTGATGTTGATAGTCATTGTTTTATAAAAAAAAAATCGAGCATATGTTAAAGCCTTCAAAGAAATCTCAAACAAAGAGATATTACATTCAGTTCATGAGTGGGAGAATTTCTTCTGTTTTTAATTATCGTCAAGGTGGTGGCGATTTTTGTGGGATATTGTCTTTATAATTCAAATAAAAGGTAAACCGAAGACGGCTTACGGGAGCACGACGAACAGAGATAGTAAATTTTTAAAACGGTCTGAAGTGCTGATAGTCGATATATCCAAACTAAACAGGGAGCCTACATAGCTAAGAAAAGACGGGGAGTCTCTACAGGTGAGATTAGCAGAGAGTCCAAGAATCTGTATATATGAACCTAAAGGCAAGGTGTATAAACGAGCTGCGTGACAGGAAGTCTTCATAGATTAGCTGCATGACAGGGATTATTCACAGGCGAGCTAAAGGCCAGAAAGTTTTCGTAGACGAGGTGAGGGTCAGGGAGTCTCCGTAGACGAGATGACGAACGGCGAGTCGACGTAGAAGAGCTGGGACATCTCCATACACGAGCTGCATGGGAGGGAGTCTCCACAGACGAGCTGCATGGGAGGGAGTCTCCATAGACGAGCTGCATGAAAGTCACCATAAACCATGCTGCATGAAGTAGACAAGCTGGAGCATAGGTAGTCTCCATAGGCGAGATGAAGCATAGAAATGCTGGCGAACTGGGATCCTCCATAGACGACTGGCTTTCAGGTATCCTCCATTGACGACTGGGCCTTCAGGGAACCTTCATAGACCAGCTGGTGATCAGGGAGTCTCCATAGACGTGCTGACGCTCAAGGAGTCTCCACAGATGAGCTGAAGGACAGGCAGTCTCCAAAGATGACTGAAAAGTTGGACAGTCAGTCTTCATAGCTAGATGACAGCTGGAGACAGAGATATTTATCAGAGAAGCTAAAATACAATATTTTTTCCTAAAGATTCTCCCTCTAAATAAACATTCCAAAACCAAATGAAAATCATTAAATCTGACATGAGTAAAACACAATGGAGGGACTTTCATTTTCATCTAAGTACCTGATGAATTTTACGGATTTAGTTTTCTTTCATGTTTTTTTTTATTTGTTATTGCTCTATATATGTTCCATTGCCATTGCAAAGTACCAGCAGACCGACATGCATTGGTGGCATAGTAGTCGCTTTTTTAAGTTAAATTAGTAAAATTGATTTTCTCCTCCGCCACCACCGACAACATCACCATGCTGGAGCATCAACTTTTTTTTCCATTTATCTATCTATCTATTCTCCTTTGTACTCGTATTCCATTTTATCAATGACCTGCCTTCAGAATCTCTACCCTCCTCACCTCCCCCCATTTCGTTAACATTCATAGCCCTAATGCTCAATGGTTTTTTTTACCCCACTTTTGTATTTTAAAAAAATATATTTTTTGGAGATTCTTTCTTCCCTCCCCCACCTTCTCAATTGTGATTTTTTCTCTCTTTTTGGTTTATTTTCATTAGATTAACTTTATAAACCTTTTGTTCGAAATGATTTTATTCGGGTTGGAAGTTTTTTCCAGGTACTTTGACTGGTGTTCAATATATATTTTGTTCGTAGACGATTTTGGTTGGTATGCGTTTACAGCAAGGTTCTTGTGAAATAGGTTACAATATAAATACAAATCGTATATAATTCGGAATATATAGGGAATAGTTTTCTAACCGTTACTAAGCTTAATAACCAAAATTGTACCTCATTTAAATGCACTTTAAAAAAAACATTATTATTTGGCGGATTCTCCAAAAACGGGCTTATGTGGAAGAAACCTACCCCGCTGAATATGAACATTTATGCTTCAACAATGATACAATTTAGAAAATTTTAAACTTCACTCTCATAATATCATTTTAAGGTCTTTACGCATTTAAAAAATGCAGATTTAAAAGTCAAATAAAAAAATACAGTCTTTAGTATAGATTTGCATACACCCTGACGTTGCGTTACTTTTTATAATTTTTAAAACGAAAAAGTAAAACTTCTTAGAGATGAAGTTTCTGAGTAACTTTTTACCCGCATGTCCCATTCCTCTCCTCTATACGAGAAGTAAATCTTATGACAAATTTAAGAATCGTATCTTAACTTCTTGGCATACTAGTACCATCATTTGATACAGCCAAAAGTGTCTCATCGATATAACTGTTTTAAACCCTAGGATTTTTTTGACCAAATACGTTTCAGCACATTTGGATTCGATCTAGAGGTGTCCGCCCGTCTCTCTGTTTGGATATCTGGCTTTTGTGCACAATAACACTCGAAGGGTGTATCCGGTACATTGGTCGAAATTAAAAAAAAAAAAACAAGTAAAATAGTATCAGTCGGTTTTGCCGACAGATGTATACCCTCAGCCTTGAGTTACGAACGTGACAGATTTAGACTATATCGACTACTTCTTGTACTTTATATGAGGTATGTGCACCTTTTCGGAAAATGGAAATATGCGTCAGGTAACGGATACAGCGGACCGAAGTATTCCATTTTCACACTTTATCTAATACAGATAAAATACATCATCCTAGTCTGAATAGAATCGGATGATAATTTTGCGTTTTATGAGCTTCATGGATATATATGGACCGATATATCCCATCTTCACACCAGATCTTGAGTTAGTAGAAATAATGGGACGTGTGTAATGTGAAGAGAACTGGATGTTTATTTCGGATTCTTTGGAATGGAATCGTGTTCAAGTGTTTTAAGAGCGTGATGAATATTCAAAATTTCGACCTTTTGTGGGGGAGGTACTTGATGGAGTGGACCTATATTATACATTTTTGCACCTGACCTAGAACTGACGTAAATATCAGGATTTGCAAAGTTGGAACAAAATCGGATTATCGATTCTCTTTCTGTGCAGAAAATATTTTTTTTATATATTTTTTTATATATTTTATTTTTTTGAAAATCTTGATCATTTGTGTGGGAGGTACCAGAAGGAATGGACCGATATATTCCATCTTAACACCAGACCTTGGGTTAATTTAAATATTGAGATGTGTGAAATTTGAAGACAAACGGACTCTTACATCACATTTTATGAGAGTTGTAATTATTTAAAAATTTCGACCCTTTGTGGGGGAGGTACCAGAAGGAGTGGACCGATATTGTCCATTTTCACACTTGACCTAACACTGACGCAAATATTAAGATTTGCAAAGTTGGGGTAAAATCGGTTTATTGCTTCTCTTTCTGTGCAAAAAATAATTTTTTTGAAAATTTCGACCTTTTGTGGGGGAGGTACCAGAAGGAGTGGACCGATATTGCCCATCTCCGAACTCGATCTAAGTTTGACAAAAAATAATGAGATGTATCAAGTTTGGACCAAATCGGATACTCCCTTCAAGAGTTATCGTGCGCACCAGCCAGCCAGACAGACGGACATCGCTAGATCGACTCCAAATGTTCTGAAACGGATTTGGTCCAAAGAGACCTAGGGTCTAAAACCGTTATTTCGACTAGGCACGTTTTGACCGTATCAAATGATATATATGATCACACGCTGCCCGCATGTTGATCTGCGGTATTTTGGCCCATTCCCGGCAAACTGCTTGCCTGAGGTGATCGACACTTTGGTATCTTTTAGTGCCAACCTTGCTTTCCAAAATACTCCAGACACAATAGTCCAACGGATTAGTATTCGGAGATTTTGGTGGCCATTGTGCGCTGGAAATGAAGCGAAGAACCTCATTTTGTAACCATTCTTGGGTGGCGCGAGCTAAGTGAGATGGTGCTGAGTCCTGTTGGAATGTCCAAGATGATCCAAGATTTTCCAAATTGACCTCTTTGGCAAGTAAACACAATAATTTTGTTTGTTTACAAACTGCTGGACAACGAATGTTTTCTCATCGGAGAAAACCAAATTTGTCAGTTCACCAATTTCGGCCAAGCGAAGCAACTGTTTAGGTCTTTTGAGTCAATGTATTTTCTTTTTGTTGCGGTGTACGTTCTTGCACTTTTTGGGTCTTCAATGGCTTTACCCCGAGCTCACGAGCCATTTTTCGGCAACTACGACGCGGGTTTCGTCGGGCTTCACTACCAGTATCATGATAACGAGCAATGGTACGAGACGCAAAAAAATTATTCATATTTAAATGCTGAAGTGCTCTAACGATTGCTACTTTTGACTTTCCAGCCGAATATAAAGAATTCACACCATAACGATTGAATTCCATCACGAATAACTTTTTTCTGGAAAATTGTCACCAAAATGCTTTTGTACGCACGTAAACAATATAATGAGCTGTCACTGGAATAATTTTAATAGCTGTCGGACGAGTGGCTTTGAAATGACAACAATCTGAAGTTTGTTGCAGTTTTTTTTATCTCATCCTATATTTTTGTCTTTGACGTCATCCTCGTAAAATTATGTGTTATTGGAGATTTTTGCAATAATTCACCCAAAGTATTACATTAACCTTAAAAAGTGGATTCGTGGCTTTTGGGTAAGGTTTAGACTATCTACTTGGATGCAACGCATAATTTTGTAATTTTTTTCTAGCTCTACTTTCATAATCTGCTCAGTTGCGATTTTTTTTATTTTTTATAATATATATATATATATATATATATATATATATATATATATATATATATATATTTTTTTTTTTTTTTTTTTTTTTTTTTTTGTATAAAAATATACTCAAATATATTTATCATGTACTAAAAGAGCACATAACTGCCAGTCCTCCATTTAAAATAAGTTAACCATATGCTTAAATTACCAATCCAAGGCAATGTTATAATACCCTTGCCTTGGGCTGTGTCCTATCTTAGCTAACCCAATCTTTATATATTAGAACTTGATATAAATTTGTTCTCATGCATTTATTTTCTCTCTCTTTTGTTATCATCCACAGGGAAGATTGTATGATAAGGATTCACAAAATGTTACGAACTGGTAAATTGGATCATGCCATTGCATTAATGCGAGCTGCCAGGTAAGTTTAGCATTACATTCTACCGAACCAAACGAAATAAAAAAAGTTAAAAAGGAATGAAGAAATCAAACGAACGAACGAATGACTGGTGGTAAAGAGTGTAAATGAATTGTTCAGGGAGGGCGTGTGCTCGAGGGAAACAATGCCATGAAATGCCTAAGAGAATTGAGACTGAATTGAAATTGACGATAGGTATGTTACATGGTTTCGAATTTCCTTTTAATGGTCCCGCTAATGGTATTTAAAATGTATTTTGATTACTTGGCACATTTCGATAGAGACTTTGGAGCAAGAAAGAAGAGGAAAAAAAAACAGGAAGATATCCAAACGAACGCCGATTGATAAAAGTGTGTTAATTTCAGCGATAACGATTGCATAAGAATCTCTCAGTGGTGTGAGATGGTGGGGGAGTGTACGGAGTTTTTTCGTTAAATTTGTTTGAAAGCATGTAATAACTTATTCTCTTAATTAAGTGAGATTGACAAGTATTAAATTTTCGAAACCTTCCATAGATCTGGCATGCCTTCATAGATATTTTATAAAATGAAAAATATCCTCATAGGTTTTTAAGGCATAAATGACCTTCTATGTAGGACGTCTATGCATAATATGCCTATTCAACACAATTTATTATGTATTGCAATTATTTATTCTTCCATTGAAGGTGTTGAAGGCAGTTGAATATGAGTAGAAAAAGCGAATGCATTGTGAATAATAAATAAACTTTTTCTTCCTCGCTTTCTGCTACTTTCTTTTTGGCGTTTTTCTTCAACTTGAGGTATCCTTTATTCCTTATCATAGTCCGCAGTTTGGAGGAAGCTGTCTATTTTTATACCCTACACTACAAGGTGGTCAGGGTATTATGTCTTTGTGCATTTGTTTGTAACAGGCAAAAGGAAACGAGATCGACCCATAGTTCCTTTTGAGGATCTGCATAGAATCACATTCTGAGTCGATTTATGCATGTCCGTCCGTCCGTCTGTCCATGTATTTTTGCACATATCATTTGTTTGGTCCAAGGACGAACCCTATTGAAATTGGAGGTAATCGTTCAAAATTTAGATATAGGTCCCATATATATCTTCGTCCGATTTGCCCTTTATTGTGCACCAAACGTATAATATCAGCCTGATTTGTATGGAATTTTGCATATACCGTCAAATTAGGCCTGAAAATAAGTAGTCTCTCAAATGTTATCGAAATCGGTTCAGATATAGCTATAGCTCCCATATATATTGTTCATCCGATTTATTATTTTTGTCCTCCGCAGCCGTAATATGCACTATGCAACAACAATATTTGGGGAAATATATCAAATACAGCTCAGAAATACATTTGCTAAATTTTATCGAGATCGGTTCAGATTTGGATATAGCTCCCATATATAACTTCGTCCGATTTACCTTTTATTGTGTACCAAACGTCTAATATTTGTCTAAATGGGACGGAATTTGGCACTTACGACTGAATTGAGTCTAGAAGCTAGTATGTCAAATTTGGTGATGATCGGTTCAGATATAGCTATAGCTTCCATATATATTATTCATCCGATTCGTTATATTTGTTACCCACAACCGTAATATGCACTCCGTAACAACGATATTCAAGGAAATATATCAAATACAGCTCAGAAATATCTTTGCCAAATTTTATCGAGATCGGTTCCGATTTGGATACAGCTCCGATGTATACTTTAATCTGATTTCAAATTAATTTCGCACCAAATGGGCAATACAAGTCCGAATTTAAAAGATACAAATGCTTCGGCATATTTAGTCCTTTGAACTTAAATAATAATTATAATCATAGCGTGTATGATTGAATTCTCCCATAAAAACTTTTAATTGTTATGTGGAGCTCTACTAAATTAGCAAAGTGGTGTAGGGTTCGACGGACCCATGTTTTTTTTTTTTTTTTTTTTTAAATCAAAGAAAAAAATAAAAATTGGGCGGTTGGCAATGTTAATCATTTAATTTGTTCCAAGTTGATTTGTTTACATCAATTTTTGAATATGATATCTCTCAAATGGCCGCCTCTGGTGTTGATGACGTATTGTGCCCTTTTTGCTGCATTTTCCATCGTTTTTGCCAACATTTCGGCCGGAATAGCGGCTATTTCTTCACGAATGTTGTCCTTGAGCTCTTCTACGGTTCTTGGCTTGTTAACGTAAACCTTTGACTTCAAATATCCCCACAAGAAGAAGTCAGGCGGCGTCAAATCGGGCGAACGCGGTGGCCAGTCCAAATCACCACTTTTCGACATCAAACGGCCCGGAAACAAATTCTTCAGAAAATCGATTGTTATGCGACTTGTGTGCGGTGGAGCGCCGTCTTGTTGAAACCAGAACTGCCTCATACGCTTTCGACGAAGGATTTTCAGTGGCGTAAAAACGGCAATTTTGCTTATTTACGGTCCCATTCAATGTGAAATGGGCTTCATCGGACATGATAATTTTGTTCCAAAATTGCTCGTCATCTTCGGCCATTTCGATGACTCTTTGGGCCCATTCCAATCGACGAGGCTTGTCCGCAGGCAACATTCTTTGCGTCAATTAAATTTTGTACGAGAACAAATACAAATCAATGCGAATAATCCGTTGTAAAGTGGACCGAGCCATGCCTAACTGCTGAGAACGGCGTTTTTGGGATGTTCTTAGGGACCTCTCAACACTGGCTCGGTCGACTTTTATATGGCCTCTTCGGATTAGAAAGAGCCTTACCAGTCGAAAATTTTTCGTATAAACGCTTAATGGTGTTCTTAGAAGGCGCACTTCTCACATTTTTGAATGTTTTAAAAGCACGTTGAGTTGTCACAATTGCCTTCGTCTGTTGAATGTGAGTTTCAGAGCGCTCGCGTGGCGTGTATTGGTTCATGGTAAAAATCTGCTTGGACTGACGCTTCAAACGCGGTATGTCATTAAGCGATGTGACATCTCTGTCAAAAGTTATGGCGTTGGCAGATGGGTCCGTTGAATATGGGTAATCCTGTATATAAGCAAGCAAATCACATATTGAGAAAATCGGTTCAGATATAGCTTCCTCCCACATATATGTTTTTCCGATTTGGGATTTGAAATCCATGACACGCGTAATATGCACTGCAGAAGAATGATATTTGGTACCGGACATCACAAACTGTTCGAAAATACCTCTGTCAAATTTTATCGATATCGGTTTAGATTAGGATATATCTGCTATATATATGTATATATGTATATATATATATATAGATATATAATTATATATATATATATATATATATATATATATATATATATATATATATATATATATATATATATATATATAAAGTAACTCACAAGCGTAATATGCATTCCCAACAACTATCTTTGGTACCAGATATCAGATACAGCTCTGAAATAAGTGTATTTCAAGATCGGTTCAAATTTGGCTCCCATATATATTCCCAACCGATTTCGGGTTAATTGTGCACCAAATAGCCAATATCAGTCCAAAAGTCCTGAATTTTGGTACATCCGATCGAATTCAGTACATCGAATTCGAAAAAAATCGGTTCTGTTATACATACCTATAGCTCCCATATATATGTTTCATCCGATTTGGTGTTTAAGTCCCTTAAATTCGTAATATGCATTCGACAACAATGATATTTGGTATCAGATACCTTAAAAAGCTCGGAAATACCTTTGACAAATTTTATCAAGAATGGTTAAGATGTGGATATAGCTCCCATATATATCCTTAATTCTATTTCAGGTTTATGGTGCAAATAATGGCTAATATCAGCCCAAATGGAGTAAATTTCGGTAAGTACGTTTCCATTTTGTGCAACTCAGTTCCGATATACATTTTTTTGTAATATAATCCTTCTCCATGTTATATCATGCATTCTATAGCAACCTGTAACTGCTCTAAAAGCAAATGTTGATAGGTGGTATGATCTACTTGAAATAAATTGTTTTGTTACGGGAGCTCTACTAAGTATGCATAGTTGTATAGGGTATCATATAGTCGGCTAAATATTTAAAACCATCTATCATTATCTACGCTCAAATCATTCTTGCCAAAGCTGTAAAATATTCTGAAGACACTCGAAGTTAATGAAATCATCCTATATACAAGGTGAGATAAAAAACTGTAACAAAGTAAAACGCCATAATTTTTTTTTTTTAATACTATTGAATGAAAGCAAAAATTTGTCGGAAATAGCATCAAATTTTAGAATAAGGGTAGATTTGTTCGAATTGGCCTCCTTGGGCACGAATTATGGTCTTTAAACAGCCAATGAAACCGTCACACGCTGCCCGAATGTAGCTCTGGGGAATGTTGGCCCATTCCCGGCGAAGCGCTTGCTTGAGGTGATCGACACTTTGGTATTTTTTAATGCCAACCTTGCTTTCAAAAATACCCCAGACACAATAGTCCAACGGATTGTTACTCGGAGATTTTGATGGCCATTGTGCGCTGGAAATGAAACGAGGAGCCTCATTTTGTAAACATTCGTGGTGGCGCGTGTTGAGTTTTATGATGCTGAGTCCTGTTGGATTGTCCAAGGTCTGTGGCCAAAATGTTTGCGTGCCCAAGGCTTTAATACACCCTCCGAAATATTTTCGCGATAATATTCGGCATTTATTCTGATGTCATGGTCGATTAATACGAGCGAGAGCGAACGTCGGCAGATATGGCGGCCCACACTATCACCATGGCCGGCGATTGAGTTCTGGTGGCCAAACGAAGGTGCACATTATCAGCTGACCTCTTCGGCAAGTAGACACGATCATTTTGTATGTTTACAAACTGCTGGACAACGAATGTTTTTTCATCGGAGAAAACCAAATTCGGCAGTCCACCACTTTTGGCCAGCAAAGTAACTCTTTAGCTCTTTTGAGTCTATTTTCTTTCTATTGCGGTGTAATTTTTGCACTTTTTGGAATTTCAATGGCTTTACTCCGAGCTCATTTTTCAATATTTGCCGAATGGAATATTGCGATATGTTCAGCTCACGAGCCATTTTTCGGC